TGTATTAATTTTCTTTACTTTTATGTTTGTTCAAGTGTATACCATATATACTTTGTTATTCTTTGTATGCTTACATTTTTATATCCTTGCATGGAGCAACTGTAACAAAGTCAATTTCCCCCCGGGATTAATGAACTATTCTGATTCTGATTCTTAGGATGGGAAAAAGCAAAAGCATGCAAGCCTGAAGAATGACAAGAAACTACAGATGTCCAAAAAGTCCAGGTTGGCTGCAGCTAACGGTGGAGGTACACAGCCCTGCATCAGCTCCTTCTTCAAGACCGTAAAAGAAGAAAATAGTTAGATTTTTTAAAAGTCCTGCAGTGTGCATTTTCATGTTTTTACATTTCTGAAGCTCCACTTTTCTTCTCTGTTTTAAAATTTGCATCTTACCATTGCTATTTTGTAAATGACTTCATGAGAATAATGTATTTTTATGAATTTTCTTTGTGAATTTTTGCTGTATCATAAAGCTGTATAAAGTCATTTTATATCGCTTGCACCAAATGTAGGGAGGGTGGGGAGTGGAATGAATGTTTATTGCTATAATAAAATAAAATAAACTGTCTTTGGAGTTCATTTACAACAAATACACCAGTCAACCTGTTAAAATTAACATCTATATGATCTCAATTTTATATTATTCATACCAAGTCATATATTTACTGTAGTCAATTTTCTTGGTTCTTTGATTACTCAGGTTGGAGACAATGTGTTCCACATAACAGTACATCATCTAGCTATCAAATGGTCACTAATGGTGTGCCACAAGGCTCAGTTTTAGGTCCCACTCTTCTTACAGTTTATATAAATATTGTAGGTCAAAACGTTCCAGACGCCACCTTGCATCTCTATGCCGACGACACTTGTTTATTGCAGAGCTAACACAGTTGCCACGGTTTTCCAGCTTCTGCATTTGACATCATTCATCATACATCATTTGTCGTCATTATCTGCATCTTTTTTATGTCTATATTCTGATTTACCTCATTTTGTATTTTGCTTTGTGTTACCTGTTGTTTTGTCTGTACAGCACTTTGGTTGGCCTTGTTGCTGTTTTAAGTGCTTTATAAATAAAGTGGTATGGTATTATTCAGTCAGACTTATTCCATCTCAAGCTGGTGCTAAATGCTGACAAAACCAAAGGGATGTTGTTTTCCAATAGAAAGTCAGTGCCAGCTACTCTTCCTATATCTCATCCATGCATAGTGTTCCTATTGTGTTTGTAGTCTTACAAATACTTGGGAATTTTGGTTGATGCACATCTCTCTTTTCAACCACATATTGAAAACTTGATAAAGAAACTGAAATTAAAACAGGGTTTCTTTTTCAGAAATAGATCTTGCTTAACTCTGAATGCCAGAAAACACCTTAACCGCTACCTTCCTACCAGCCATTGACTATGGTGACATTATTTACATGAATGTCCCTGCCAGCTCCTTGCAGATGTTGGATGCTGTCTACCAAGGCTAAGATTCATAACTGGTTGCAACTGCTGTACCCATCACTGTACTCTATACTCCTTAATCAGTTGGTCATCATTATCTACACGTAGGCATTCACACTGGTTCATCTTAATCTATTAATCTCTCTTTGGTCTGCTACCTTCTTATATCTCCTCCCAGTGGTGTAGTCTAGGCGATACGCGGGTATACGGAGTATACCTACTAGAAAAGCTTAAGAATTTCAGTATACCCACTTAAAAGTGCCCAATAATACATGTCATATCATTAGGCATGTGTCATGATACATTAAACAGCAATTAAACGCTTCCGTAACAATCTGTATGCAGCGCTTGTTTATTACATTCACTTATCCAGCGAATTATTGTATAATTCTGTACTTACTACTTAATACTTGAACATGTTTCGCTTTGATACTGTTTTATAAATTCTATAACATGTTTTTAATACAAAGCCAACCATTGTACAAAGTTTGTTGTATATTTATTCAGAGAATAAGAGACATTTGGAAATGTTCACTATGCTTAAAAATCAAAATAAATTGACCATTTCATTGTACTAACCAGTGTACTTTGGTTTCTAAGCACAGTATACCCAGTACAAAAATGTAGACTACACCACTGTCCCCTCCCACATGTCACATCGTCAGTGCAGTTACAACGTGCGCTCTCAGGCCATCATTACCTGCAGGGTTCCTTCAGTGCGGACTGACCTTGGCAAAAAGGCCTTCTCCTACTTTGCTCCTGCAACATGGAACACCTTGCAACGGGAACTGAAGTTGTCCACCTTAATTTCTTTAGGGGATTTTAAACAATTGATAATGTCAATAGAAAAATCAAATCAATGTTCTTTCTTTTTCTTATTTCACCTTGTCTTACACCCTGATTTATTGTTTTAGAGCACTACTTTTATTTTAACAGCATTTTTACGGTAGTTTATTATTATTGTTGTATGTACTATATATGTTGTCTGGAACAGGTCCCTCTTATAAATGAGTCCTCGTGGCTCAGTGAGACTAAATGAATAAAAATTCTACGTTAAACGAATAAATGAGTGTCGTGGGTAACAGCGCCCTCTAGTGCACCGGAAATGCCACTACAGATGCCGGCGAGGAAAAACTTCTGCGAACACAGGAAGTGATGTCTTCAGCGTTTTTCCCTACTTCTAACATTATTATAAGTTAGAAAGTCACGGCTTTATTTAAGTAGACACTTTCTTCAGCACATTTCTTGTGCGCAGGGTGTCCTGTTTCCGCTTCTTCCATATTTGGTCCTGCTGCTCTGTACATGTGGAGTCTGTGACCAAAGGTTTTCGGATCCTGTCACTGAAACTGGTGGTGACCCAAACCACGGGGTGAAAGGAAAGTAAGTGGCAGTGAGACGATTTACCTGTAGTGTGTTTCCTTGAGTCAAAGTAAAAGTTTGCTGTCGTGTTCCTAGATGGCTTCAGTGTGGGAAAGTCTCGTGTCTGTGCACCAGAGGATAGTGCAGAATGGAGGTAAGAGGTCTCTGTCATTCATTCATGTTTTCAGTGCAGAACAGCATGTTACAACACAGTGGGCTCACTTTATGAAGAATGCTGAAAGAAAAACGGCAAGATAAGTAAATGGTTCAGTGTTTCTCATCAATGATTGTGTCTTTCATTCATGAATTAGTTAGAACACATGGAAACAGCTACAGAGTGACAAAATAGATAAACCTACTGGTTCAGAGAAAGCTCTGTCTTTGTCCCTGATATTTATTCTTGACAGTTTTACTCATGTGCATTTAGCAACAGATAAGATAAAAGAGAACTTTATTGATCCTGCAGGTTTCCACCTAAATATCTTCTCTATGGCTCCACGCTTGTCTTGTATATAATATAATAATAATATAATATACATATTTGTTTATTTGAAGACCAAGGCTAGTCCAGGGGTCTGCAATCTATGGCGGCTCTTTCAAACTTCGACCAAAACTGACATAAAACTGAACTTTATTGGTTGTTATAACAACAATTAAAAGGGCTACTAGTTTTCCTGTAATTTATTTAGCAAAAAACATTACAAGGAGTAAAGCGTACTCACTTTCACTTTATGCTTTCTTCAAAGTAGGATATGTAATTTTTCTACAATAATAAAAAAAATCACGTAAGAATGCATAGTTTATTTTTTTAGTTTTTAGAAACTGGGCAAAAGCTATATTATTTTATCCTTCTTAACAATAATCTCGTCTTTTATTTTGTCTTAGAATGTAAAAATAACAATAAATGTAAAAAAAAAAAAAAAAATCATTAGATATTTTTAGTTTTATAAAATCACCCCTACTGTCCAGAAAAGCGCCCTCCAACAAATTTAAAGTGGCCTGTGGGCCACCAGTTGATAATCCCAGTTGCAGACCCCTGGTCTAGTCTAATGTAGGTCATATAGTGGTTTGGGCTGGGGGCTTTATTTGTTAGAGCTGCTTGTCAATCTGAGGAACTATCGCAGTAAAGTTTATAAACCTTCACAATGTGGGATAGCAAGTTTAAGTTTTATTTTATAGTTTGCAATAAGTACCTTAGTTTGATGTATTTGTCATAAATTTATTTTCAGAAATGGAAATCGTTTGTGTCTTTGTAACAGGCTGCCAATAACAAAGTGCCTAAAAATCCAGATTACGTTTGTTTCTTTGCTAAATATTTTATAATGTCTCAACACAACTCTGGGTTATGTTCTTTAACTTTATCAGCTTATTTATGTCTGAATGATTCAAAGCTTCGAGTTAGGTGGCTTAACAAACAAATAAACATTTCTCTAGTCAGGAACTTTACTGAAAATTAAGAGGAAAATCAGCCCAAGTCCAAACAAAATAATAAAAACCTTTGTAAAACCTTAAGAAACCCTCCAAAAATGTTACTCAAGACCATTACAAAGAAAATCTGACTCCTTCGAAGCAAAACGTGAAGAAACGAGGAATGGCTTAAGACTTTTGCACAGTTGTGTATATTCTTCGCAGCCTCAGAAGAGGAGACGAGCTGCAGATGAACTCTCTGTAGTTCCTGCATGATTACTGCTGTGTGGCTCGTCACGTGATTTACCAAACAGCCACCGTGACAGAGCAGAGTGAGGAATGTGACACAACATCAATGTTTTCCTCAGCAACAGTCACAACTTCTACTTTGTCACTTTCTTCTTTAACGCTGATGCCAAATCTCTCGTGCGAGTTCGTTCACTGTAGCAGCCCCTGCAGAGAACAACCAAAAGAAAAACTCGTTATTTTTACCCACGTGGGAGTGTGAAGAACCGGGACCTCTTTTCTTGTTGTTTGTGAATTCCCACTCTGTTTTGTTTTTATAAGCATGTAATGTGTGGAAAGTTGAAGTGAAATAGTTTACGTCTCCTGTGATGTGTCTGACTGGAAGCCCTCTCATCCCTCAGACAAGAGGACCGACCCCTGGCTGCTGGTCTTCTCCCCAGTCCCAGTGGCTCTCATCTTCCTGGTTTACCTCGGAGTGATCTGGGCCGGGCCCCGTCTGATGAAACACAGGGAACCTGTTGACCTGAGAGTGGTTCTGATCGGTTACAATTTCTCCATGGTTCTCCTGTCTGCATATATGTTCCATGAGGTACACGAGGAAGTAGAACACACAACTTTTTATTTTCATATTTATTTTAAACAAGCAAAGATTTGCTGGCATGAAGCCTGGCACATACAAATGAAATGTTTGTGTTTTATAGACATGCTAATGTTTTATTTATGCAGGTGATCTTATTGAGACGTGAGTCTTATTGTCATTTAAACAAATTAACTATCATAATTAAACAAGTAAATAAATATTACTTGGAAAAATGTAAATAAAATTAAAATCAAGGTCGTCTTCTTTTGAAAACTGCCCTGATTAATCTTTTGACGTCAGCATATACTGCACTTGTCATTTTCAGTTCAATTCAGTTTATTTATTTAGCACCAAGTCACAACAGAAGTCGTCTCAGGGCACTGAACAGAAACATTCATGTATAAAATAAGTCATCAGAAATGTTCGTATTTAAAAATAATAATTTAATATTATTTATCTGAGGAGCAGACTGCTTTGAGTTTAACTCCATCGCAGACTCTCATTCTGAGCAAGTATGAAGGTGACAATGGAAAGGAAAAACTCCCTCATGAGGAAGAAACCTTTAGCAGAACCAGTTCAAGACAAGCGGCCATCTGCTTCGACCGGCTGGGTTTGAGAGGAATAGATACACAATCGCAGAACAAGAATCGCATGTTAAGATAGAAATAGTATCAAATGAAAACTATTCAATTTTAACAATTTATTTAAGGAAATGTGGTTAATTTGTCCACCAGTAGTCTAAGTCTATAGCAGCATAACAAGCCAACCCTAACTATAAGATTTTTTAAAAAGGAAAGTCTTCAGCCCAGTCTTAAAACTGGACGATGTGTCAGCCTCACGGACAGAAACTGGAAGTTGGTTCCACAAGAGAGGAGCCTGATAACTGAAAGATCTTCCTCCCATTCTGCTTTTGGAAACTCTAGGAACCACAAGTAAACCTGCAGTCTGAGAGCGAAGTGCTCTGTTGGGAAAATATGGAACAATAAGATCTGTAATATAAGATGGAGCTAGGTTGTTGAGAGCTTTGTAGGTTAGAAGTAAGATTTTGAATTCAGTTCTGGATTTGACAGGGAGCCAATGGAGAGAAGCTAAAACTGGAGATATATGATCTCTCCCACTAACTCCAGTTAAGACTCTAAGTCTCTGGCAGCAGCATTTTGGATCAGCTGAAGACTTTTTAAAGTATTTGGACACCCAGATAATACTGCAAGAGTCCAGTCTACACATGACAAAGGCATGAACCAGTTTTTCTGCATCATTTTTAGGTAAGATGTTTATAATTTTAGTGATATTACGCAGGTGGAATTAGGTGCTTCTAGTAACGTTTTTAATGTGGGGGATAAAAGACATGTCCTGATCAAAATAACACCAAGATTTTTAACATTAGAGCAGGAGGACAGATTAAGGTCATCCAAGGAGAGTGAAAGATTGAAAAATGTATTCCTAAGATGCTCAGGTCCTAAAACTAAAACCTCAGTCTTGTCTGTGTTCAAAAGCAGAAAATGTAGGGTCATCCAGGTTTTTATATCTTCAAGACATGCTTGTAGTCTAAGTAGCTGATTGGAGTCATTGGGTTTCATGGACAAATATAACAGTGTATCATCAGCATAACAATAAAATTTATCCCATGCTGTTTAATAACTTTACCTAATGGAAGCATATACAAGGTAAAGAGTATTTTCACTGAGATGTGGTGCAAAATAAATAATTTTGATACAAAACAAATGCTTTAAAATGTCATTTGATCTGCAGGAAACTTCAACTTGAAGTTTTTGTTAATTTGACAGGCATGTCAGCCAAGAGTTAATGTTCTAAAACACCGTTAAAGACGAAACAGCTCACCAGTGCAGTAGGTCAAAGACATGGAAACATGAAGAATGTGTTTGGTGGAGGTTTTAAGGAGGAGGTCTTTATAGCAGCTGTAAAGAAGCATGACAGTATAATGTCATGGTTAGGGCTGCTTTTTAAATGACTTTCATTTATCAGCTCTTCATTGTGTCCAGAAGTGATAAGAGATGATGTAAGAAACGCTCAAACTCAAGCTGAACGTTGTTTTTATAGCAGTGGACTCTCAATCTTTAGTCTATTCATGGAAAAATGTCAACTATTGATATTCTGACTGCTGAAAAATCTACATTTTCTATACGTAGATCCTACTTTAAAGAATCTGATGTTTTTATGTGAAAAGCCTTAACTACTCATGTCTGCTCATCATCGTTTCGTTATTTTCAGTTCCTGGTTGCATCCTGGCTCTCAAACTACAGCCTCCTCTGTCAGCCTGTAGATTACAGCTCCAGTCCGCTGGCGATGAGGGTAAGAAACTCTTGGGTCGTTAAGGTCTGACGTTTTACAAGCTCCACAAAACGTATCTAAACGTAAAAGGGGATTTTAACAGCGCACTCGGGTATTAAATGTTTTTGGACACTCCTCATCTTGTCTGTGCAGATGGCCAGAGTTTGTTGGTGGTTTTTCTTCTCGAAGGTCATAGAGCTCAGTGACACGGTTTGTTCATCATCAACGTTCCTCTGGGTGTTTGTAAAAATGCAAAGTGTTACAAACTCTTCTTTTGTCACGCAGCTGTTCTTCATCTTGAGGAAGAAGAACGGTCAGCTGACTTTCCTCCATGTTTACCATCACGGTACCATGATCTTCAACTGGTGGGCGGGAGTTAAATATGTGGCTGGAGGACAGTGTAAGTTAAACAGACTAAACCGATCCTGTTAAATTCCTTAAAGCAGCACAGGCTGAAGGGCTTTACCACAACATTCTATTATAAGGCTGGTTTGACTAGTCTAATATCTTACATGGCATAACTAACCCTGTTGAAACTCAGGTGTATTATGGTTCAGTCTCTGAAAACATTCTCTTGTCCTGCCCAAAACTTCTGATCCACTCAAGATAGTTTACTGAAACTTCGTACACATATGCATCATCACTAGACGGAATGTCATGGACTCTTAGTCACCCCAGCTCTAAGGTCAAAGGTCACAAATCAATGTCATAGGTTATACACCGTCTTTGCTAGTTTGCAGCATAATGTGCTATAAGCAGTACAGTAGTCCCTCGCTACTTCGCGGTTCGACTTTCACGGACTCGCTCTTTTGCGGTTTTTCCAACGAATGTCAACCTTAATATTACTCACGTGATCGGGACGGTACAGGATAAAAAGTTAACGGGAAAAAAAAAAACTTCAGACAGGTGCTGGCATTTTGTAGTTTTCTTTCAATAAGCCTACACTGTAAGGCTACTCAAAGAACTACATTACCCAGAAGCCAACAGTGCTTCTGGCCTCTGCTTTCTGACAAAATGGAGGGAAAGTTTGCAGCGCAAAGTCAGACGTAACGATCTATCTCTTAAGTTCACAGAACTGGCAGGAAAGTTGCAAATAATCCTTAAGCTTAATTATCTACATGCACATCAGCCTGGACGGGGCGGTGGGCTTCGTCGCTGCAGGGTAGGTCTGCAGAACCAGAACCAAGCTGCTGGTCTGCAGAGCTGGTGAGTCAAATTTTGCAGTACTGTACAGTACATATACAGTACATATGTTGTTAATATATATATATATATATATATATATATATTTATATATATATATATACATACATACTAAAATAAATACAGCGTTTCTACTTCATGGTTTTTCACCTATCGTGGTGGTGCCTGGAACGTAACCCCCGCGATATTTGAGGGACTACTGTGCTCTTGTTTAATCTTATGTATTTTGTTTGTGCACACACCTGTATTCAATTTTACTTTTGTTGCCAGGGGTTCTCAACCCTGGTCCCTGAGGAACACCACCCTGCATGTTTTACTTGTTCCTCAGCTCCAGCACACCTGATGTGAATGAAAGGGTGATTCACAGGCTTCTGCTGAACTCAAGGAACTAATTAAGTCACTGAATCAGGTGTGTTGGAGCAGAGAAATAACTAAAACATGCAGGATGGTGTTCCTCAAGGACCAGGGTTGGGAACCATTGGTTTATGCATCCTAATTTCACGTTTATGTAGTGTGTTTTTTTCACATGCACATATGATTATTGTTATTTTTTTTGTATTTGCATTTAAATATTAAAAAAATATGAAAATTATATGAGCTTTTCCACATGGTGCAGCATTCTTCATCGGCCTGGTGAACACCTTTGTTCACATCGTCATGTACTCTTACTACGGACTGGCAGCAATTGGCCCTCACATGCAGAAGTACCTGTGGTGGAAACGATACCTGACGTCCCTGCAGCTGGTGAGTGAGTATAAGCGATGGGTGCACAAAAACAAAGTGCTCATTCTGATCTGAATACTCTTTTGCCCCTGCAGCTGCAGTTTCTTCTCTTCCTCCTGCACACGGGCTACAACCTGTTCGCAGAGTGCGACTTCCCCGACTCGATGAACGCGGTGGTGTTTGGGTACTGCATCACCCTCATCATTCTCTTCAGCAACTTCTATTATCAGAGTTACTTTAACAGGAAGAAGCAGAAATAAGGTGCAAACAGAAGAGGAAGTATCAGCTGGAGGTGGACGATGCATCCTGCTGCAGTATTTGGTTTGCCCACCAGAGGGCGCAACCTGCTCACAGTCTGCACCTTTTTCCTCTGATGTGAGCAAAAACAAAACAAAAAAAAAACTTCAGTTCAGCAGTTATTTATTTCTGGAACTGGGAAAAGACAAACATTCAAATGATTGCTGTAAACAAACTGTACATTTATACACATTAGAATAATATTAATAATAATAGAAGGTTGGTTTCTCTGCATTATTGCAGGACAACAGAGACAAAACTCCCAACAAAGTTAAAATCAAAAAACAAAAATCTTTTTTTTTTTAACACTGCTACAACATCACAGCAAAATGATATATTCTTTTCTACACTTCGGTCTAAAACAGATTGGTAGATGTAGATTAGAGATTAAAAATTCAACCAAGAACAGGAGTTTGTAGAAACTGACATTCACACGTTCAAATGATTGTACTGTCAGAAGGTCGTAGCACCAAATGAACAAGTTGATTTTATTTTTTTTATATGAGAACTTTGCCAAGTAAGTTAATTAAATGCTCCATTTGTCTAAATTCAGTCAAATACTTTTCTTTAATTTCTAATAACAGTTTGTATGGATGTTCTTATGGTAAAATTTTAAAGACTGATATTTGTTTCCAGCCAGACGAAGTCGTGCCTTTAATGTAAGTCAACAAAAATAGAAAGTCAGTGCAGCTGCCCTTAAATATAGGTTTTCACATTAAATATACTTCCTTTAACTCTTGCTTTCTCCTAAAACTGGATCATTTATCCCAAAATTTTATATAAAAATGAAGGTTTGTTTGTAGGCAAATACAACAGGTGAGTCATGTTTTATTATTTAAAATGTATTTAAAGAATTACTATTTAGAAACCAACTTCTGTCTAATGTAACATTCATTTAGCTGTAAATACACCTTCGGCTTCTTGTTTATTTGTTGCGTAGTATGGTTGATTTAGCTGCGGGTGCACAGAGCAGAGGAACCAGTCGACGGTGAGCTGTCTCGGTGAGAATTCAGAGCTGATGTGTAGAAAGTCAAAGTTCACAGCAGTTTCTGTGAAGTGTCCTCCTCCGGCGCCGCTTCATGTCTCTGTGTAGACCGAGGACACGTGGCTCAAGCTGCGGTCGAAGCTGCCCACCTGGAAGAAGACGCTGTCCTCTGGGCTCAAAGGGAACTGGCACCCGGTGCCTCCCTGCAGCTCCTGGGTCAAACCAAACCCTGCAGCAGACACGATGAAGAGCAGTTCATCTTAATGCTTCAGCTAGATATGAATGATTTTATTGTCCAGAAAAACTGTAGAACTGTTCTCACCTGCTGAACCGGTGCCGCTGGTCGGCATGTGGAAGCCGTTGTGCTGATGAGAGGTGTAGGCATGAGAATCTGGGATGTGGACACCACCGAGCGTCTGCTCCATCCTGTAAGAGTCTCCAAAATGGAAGCAGCTCTGAAAACTGGCTTGATATTCTAGGAAATGAGGCAGGATGTAGAAGAGTGGGGGGGGGGGGGGGGGGGGGAAGAAGCCAGACTTGATCAGCTGCCACCAGCATCTATGGGTGATTGTTCCCAGTGTCTGCACCATCCAGCTCAAACTGAATGTGAAGTTCAAATTATGACAATGCTATATTTGTGCTAACTCTCCCAGCCACATACTGCGCTCCATTTGTCCCCATAGTCCCCGTTTGTACTCGGATTCAACCACAGGAGTCTTGATAATGGCAACCAAGCCTTTCTTGGAGCACTTTTACGCAACTCCCTGACCACAGTCATGGTTAGAGAGAGACGTCCATGTGTAGGTCTTTACAGGGAAAACAGTGTTTAGTGCATTAGTGGGAGAGGGGAAAAAAAAGCTCTGGAGTGACAGCTAAAGCTGAAAGAAGCAGCTGAATTCATGAGCCAGCAGTTTGTTGGGCAATTCTGCACAAGGTTTCCAACGTCTTCAATACGCATTTGGAAAACACTGCACGTGTGCAGCACCGAGGTGTATTTAAGTAACTGTCATAGCGAGGGCTGTGTTCAGATGTGAGTAAATCACCTGCCACAGGAAACTGAAGGGTAGGTTGAAACAGCAATGAGCACCTTTACAAGATTTGCTGGAACAAGTCCCATTAGTGTTTGAGTTAGCCTTACCATCGTTGGCTGACTGATGATAGTGAGGGTAGGGCTTGTGATGTGGATGGACGTGCTGTTTTTCCAGCAGGGGAGCAGGAGGAGTAGTCGTCGTCGCCTTCATGCCAGGAGACACGAGGGGGCCCGACGATCTGCAAGGAATAGATCAAACACATTCAAAGGTCTTTAGTACAGTTGCTTCATTCCTGAAAGTCTTAAAAATGTTCTAATAAAATGCCTCATGCTTTGTGATGTCTCAATCAAAGTAGGAGCTACAGGCTCGACTGCTCACCGCATGATTCAACATACCCATGGTGGGCTTCCCCACACAGAATGGACCTCATACTAACTTTAAGTCAACAAACGAGCGCACATTAAAGTGAACACGTACACTGGAGTACAACGGCTGTAACGTGTGGGTTTGTGGCCAAGAGGACAATAAAGCACAATGATTACACGCACTGAGGTCATTTCAAAGGTCATGTTCAATTATCCAGGTAAAAAAAAAAAATCCAACAATCCTCTGGACGGTTTCTTTTTTGTTGAGACGTTTCGTCCTTCATCCAAAGGATTTCATCAGTCTGAGGAGCCCCAACAAACTGAGTCCCACAAACAGCAGCTTGTTGAGATGTTTTACATCAAAACTTTGATGTTTGGAGCCACTTTGGCTATGGCTGCCTCAGAGGAGTTGACGGGGGAGAGGGCGGGCCCCAGAAACCATCTTATCACCATCAAACTGGTTGGTCCACTATGGGAGTGTGCTGCTTGTGGGACTCAGTTTGTTTGTGGCTCCTCGGACTGATGAAGTCCTTTGGACAAAGGTCGAAACATCTCAACAAACAAGAAACCGTCCAGATGATTTGTTGGGCTGAGGAAATTAAATTTTACACCACATATTTTTAACGTGTTCACTTATCTCACAGATTTGTGAACTATATATTTTTTTCTTTAAAGCTTAATTTTATTATCATAAATGATTAGATTGTTTCCTCTGGTGTCAGATGCTGTGCAGCTGGAAGGATTTTTACTGAAACTTTTCTACATTTGGACATTTGTTATGATGTGTAACCATGACAACAAGTTTTTTTTTTTTACAACTGGGAGCCTCTGATTACCATCTCAAAGCTCAAATAATGTCTCAACTACAGCCCCAAATTTCAAATGAGTTGAAAAGGAGGTGCCGTAGATGCATTCCCATCTCCCTGCTGGTTGTGCTCGAGTGCCTGACCACTGAGATCCTGGAACTAGCAGGAAATGTGGCTTGTGACAGAAGAAGGACCGGGATCGTCCCCTGGCACCTGCAGCTGGCTGTCCACAGTGACGAGGAGCTCGGCAGGCTGCTGGGAGGAGTGGCCATCGCTCTCGGAGGAGTTCTGCCTGACATTTGGACGATCCTGGAGCCCGGGGGAACCGAGAGTTCAGCTGAGTCTGGGTGGACGGATTGGACGGCATCTGCGGCCATTTTCTTTGGATCCATTGTGGAACGGACCTTTACAATGATCCTTCCTGCCTATAGCCATCAGTATAACATCTCTTAATGAAACGAGGATAACGAGTTCCAACATTTAATTTCCCTTTGGGATTAATAAAGCATTTTTGAATTGAATTGCGATGCAAGCAAATCTTCTACCTTCAGCCCTTGCAGTGGATTTTGTCACGTTTAGAATGAGCAGCTTAAAAACTGTAGCTTGTTTGCATCTGCCACTTTCACTTCACTTTTTAAATAGCACAAGTGTAAAGATAAATGTGCTATAAAGAAATATTTGTATGTTTGGGTTGTTTGCTAGAAGCTAAAAGTTTTCCAAAACGCACCTTTGACAAATATAACCAATTTAGATTAGAAGCATAAATGCAACGACAATGCAAATTATATATAAAAAATTTCACCTTTTAAGTATGAAAGTTTAAAACATAACCTTGCAACAAAGTGTTTTTAAGCTGCTGCAGTAAAAAAAATAAAAAAGGCTTAAATCAAATTTATGATTTTAACCATATTATGATGAAGTTACATACTCTAAAGCAGTGAGAACAATGTTTAATATACACTTCAAAACATTAACGCAAAACTTTTCAGAGAACTAAACTTAAATTTAGTGATTATCTTTCATAGATGACATTATTCCAAAAAACAGGCTCCATACCCAGATTCTTGGAATCAAATTTTTTTTTTTTTTTATTGAAGTCGGCCAGTCATCTTTCCAAATATTCAGCAGCTGCTTACATCTGCATATCAGGAATGCCAGCACGTAACCTGCCGCTGTGCTGCAGAGGCATATGGTTTGCACTAAGGGTTTAATGAATGATGACAGAGTGTTGTTGGAGGTGGCTAAGCCCTTAGATGACCTGCGGTATGCATGAAGGAAGACGTCCCACCCAGCACTCAAAAGAGCTGGCAAGACGTTTGGCAGAAAGGGGGAGTTAGTAATGTCATGCATATTTCAAAGGAACTGCAAGAATTTGTTGTTAATACAGGATTTATTGTAGTTTCATGTAAAATACGGCCTAAAGCTTCCAATATTCCTGCTTTTATCAATGGAGATCATTGTAAAACTACCAAAGGGTTTTAGTATCCAGTGGCTTGTTTATGCTTGTTTTCTTCGCCTGTTTTCTCACTTAAATGGATTCCTTAAAATGTACTTGCTCAGATTGAAACAACTGGTTAACTTTGAGAGTTAACATGATCCAAGATGGCCGTCACAGCTAATAAACCACAACAAACAACAAAAAAAGCTGTGACTCAGTCATTTTTACAGCTCGTTTGGTGTTATAGCTGAGCATCATCCCCAAAATGTATTTTATTTAAAAGGACAGTGCACATTAATCAATTTTCCACAACTATGAATGTGCCAGAATTAGCATGTAGTTAAATTTAATCTCCTAAGCAGATAAATGAAAACAATTGACAAATACAAATGACTAAAACAATCCAAAAAACCCCCCCAAACATCACACTGTATAGTTAAAATAGACCCATTTCATGAATGAGTGCATGGCTGATTTTCTTTGAGCCAAATTTCAAGTTTATTTTTAAAAACAAAATAATTGTCACAGTCTGATATTCTGACAGTTCGTTCCTACATGTGCTCCTCTAACTGACGTCACTTTATGCCTGGATTCTGTTCTCCGTCTCGCTTCAATTTATCGTCTCCTCTAATCTGAGATCTGGTGTTTATTCTGGTTTTACACTTCTGGATTAAAGAGTTTAACGACGGAGAGCAAGTCCATTTAAAACTCTAAAAACAAGATTTGGATCACTGAACACTGATCATTTTCAAAGTCCAAGGTCATAAACTTATGATGACTTATGACTATGGTACAATAGTGAACATGAAATTGTCTGTCTAAAACTTTGACTGTCTTTTTAAAGAGTTTCTAGGGTTTTAGCACATTTGCTGTTGTATGTGACCAGGTCGTAAGACAACAAGATAAATGAGAAAAACATCGTTGCATGTGTGAAGGTGTCAGCTGACAACTCATTAGTTGTCAGTTATAATCATCAACATTAAAAGAAATAAACATTTGACATATATCAGTCTGTGTGTAATGAATTAATATAAGATACAAGTTTCACTTTTTGAATGGAATTATTGAAATAAATCAACTTTTTCACAGTATTCTAATTTTATGTCCAGCACCTGTATAAGTTTAGCTGCTTGTGACGTAAGACAAGTAGGGGTGCACCGATTGCAGTTTTCTGTCCGATCACCGGTTTCTAAAAAGTCTGACCTGCCGATTCAGATCTTGTTTTATAAGCGACACTGTCAGGTGTTATGTCACAATGCACCTTCAATTTTCCAATATTATTTTGTTGAAAAACATACCCTTGAACAATATCCTAGAAACAATACAGTCAACCTGGCCATGAGGTAGTGCTCTGAAATATAAAGGAAGTTTAGACAATTGCTGTTAAAACTACAAAAACATAAAAGAAATATCTGTAAAATCGGTTTCTCATGCAAGTATCGGCCGATTTCCAAAATTCCCAAATCAAGGAAATTGGGGCTGATAATTTATCCGCCCCGATTTATCGGTGCACCTCTAATAAGATGAAAATCTGCCAAGTTATATTTAATTATATTAATAGTCTTCTTAATACGTTGCCTAAAAGTAGATTTGAATCAAGATACTTGAACTGATCCACCACATCAAATCTCTCTGTTCACATGGTCTTCGGCTTGCCGGCATGAAAAAAAAAACTGTTTTTTGGGGGGTATTCAGATGTAGGCACGAGTGTTGAATCCAGTGATACACGTACCATAGTTGCAGATAAAACATTAGCTGCTTCCTGTGCTGTCAGTCTAAGCACTAACAGACAAAGCTAAATGTTTAAATTTTGACATGCGACAGGCGATAAGTACTCCTTCAAGGAATTCTGCCTTTTATTTAAAACATACTTTCATGCAATTCATCACATTTTGAACGTTTTTTATGTACCTTATATAAAGCAGCACGGTTAGAACAGAGTTTTCCTGATGTCCCATAAAATATGTCTTCCTTCCTACTTGTTTTTGAAATTGCTTCAGCAGTTTAATTTAACACAGACAGGGATTTCTGTAGTGCCAATTGGTTTGGCAAATCGTTAAAAATTCAAATATAAAGTTGTTGACTAACTTGGAGAACACTTAGTATTTGCAACTTTCTCCTTGTGATTGTGAAACAATCTTGGTATCCAAGTATTTAAATAAAAACATGCACTCGATTTTATATCTGGTGCAATAAACTGGGTATGCCATTCGTGTGGCACCTCGAGCTCCATCCCAGAAAAGATTGCTGTTAGCAATCTTTGCTAATCCATGTGCTGGCACGGGCCCAGAGCGTAACCATGTGTTCCTGCAGAGAGCAGCGTTCCCTCGGGAGCTGCTGTCAGCACAAACTCAGGAAACAGTTATACTGTTCATATTTTTACAAGCTGCCTCTATGTGCAGCTAAAGTGAATCATAAGCTAATAACTGCCAGCTGCGGCTGGCTAGTTTCACTAGCTGCTAGCTCCTCAAGCTCAAGGTGAATATTTCAAATGCCACATTAATCTGCCCCCTGAGATTTAGCCTTAAAGGTTGACCTTCCCCGTCTTTGCTTTTTTCTTTACCTACTCATGTTCTATTGTAATATGACACAACTATTTGACAAATTGACAGAATAATCCCTAAAAATT